AGAAGAAAAACCCAATTCACACTATCATAAGCTTTCGATATATCGATTTGCAAGCAGCCTCTAGTACAAGGACCAGGCTTATGGAAATCTGTTACCAGTTCAGAAGCTAATAAAACATTCTCACAAAGTAATCTTCCTTTAATGAATCCAACCTGGTTCCTTTGAACTATTTCAGAAGTCACTTCCTTAAGACGAGAAGCTAAGATTCTAGAGATAACTTTGTAGATTGTATTGCAGAGAGAAATAGGGCGAAAATCTGAGAGGGAAGCTGCACCAACCACTTTTGGGATCAAAGAAATAGCTGTAGCATTTACTTGCCTTGGCAAAGAGAAGTTTATGAAGAAATCTTTAATTGCTTTGAGAAAGTCTTCCTTCACTAGATCCCAAGAAGAAGTAAAAAACTTTGTTGTGAACCCATCGGGACCAGGAGCTTTATTCTTTGGAAGAGAAAAAACTATGGACCTTATCTCTTCATTAGAGGGGCAAGCAGAAAGCTTATCTGAAGATGAATCAGAACAGCGATAAGGCTGGATACTCTGAAGCTGGGAGATAGAATAAGGCAGAACATAAGAATCTGAAGTCCCCAAGAGATTAGTGTAGAAATTAATAACCATGGACCTGATCTGAGAAGGATCTGAAATTCTTTGATTGGAACCATTATGCAGAAAATGGATGACGTTTCTGGACAAGTTTGCTTTCACTGATTTATGGAAGTAACCAGTATTTGCATCCCCTTCCATGACACAACGAATTCTTGATTTTTGCCGAAAGAAACTTTCTTCAGCAGCAGCTAAATGAAGCCAAGATGCTCTCGCAGTTTGCTCTTCCAAAAATAAGGCCTGAGAAGGGTGCTGTAAAACTTGCCTTTGAATAGCTTCCAATCTCTCAAAAATAAATCGTTTTAGTGTTTTGGTTTGGACCATATCCTTTACTCTTGTGGTTGGACCATATAACTTTACTCTTTTGGTTAGAAGTTAGAGCAACAACCAAATAATAAAAATATTATATAGATAAGTCATTCGAATCCAGTCAAACCAACCCGGCTTATTGCAAGTAAAGCCATCTGCTTGGTCCTTGGCATGACAACATACATGGCTTTATCGAGACAGCCTATGGCTCCACTAATGTAACCGCATGCATGGTTTGTGATCCAGAAACAAACTTAGCTCCATGTATGTGCTCGAACGAAACCACCATAGTTTTAAGTCTTGTGACACTGACGCATTTCTGCTTATACACCCTCACCAACGTCTTAGGAATAGGTTGCTGCCTCACAAAATCTATAACCAAAAGTAAGCAAATATATTTATAGACATGTCACCAAAACGCCTAGCTAGCATACATAGCCTATACATCATCTCTCACATCCTATAAGGCCATAAACCAAACTTGGATTGAAAACTCTCGAATATTCATTCTATTCATCGACCAAGATTTCTTTTCTATAAATTCATAACTCATAACAAAGATAGAGTACATAGCCTAATAAGATCATTATATAGTTTGGATATATATATTTTACAAGTAGGCTTTTGAGTTATTTTTATTTTCTTTGTCGGCAGTAGGCTTTTAATTAGGCTTCTCTCGAGCATAATTTTGCGACGATAATAATTCCCCTGTGACACCGTTTCTCCTGTTACTATTAGTCGCGGCTATATCCTATATGACGTGTGCTCGATGTTAATGACCCTAATTTAAAATTTTCCCAATCATTATTTTAGTTTAATCTCGGTACCAATATTTTAAAAGTCAAATCTATAAATATCTCATTTAAATTTACATTAACTGTTTCTTTGACATTTTCACATGAATTTGTTGTAAAGTACGAAAATGTTTTTCAGACTTTTTATTAAATTTAAATAGGAGTATATATATATATATATATATATATATATATATATATATATATATTTTAAACATAATACGTATGCTTTTTTTTTTTTTGAACACCAGATAGTACGTATCTAAATCACAACTTTGACCAAAAATAAATCAGCTAAAACCGTACTTATTACTAAACAGAATGACTTTAGTCTGTTGCGGTTTTGAGCTTATTCAGTTTGAGGGATTGGTATATTTTCGTGCGTAAAGCAATAAGACTAATGCATTGATCATCTGTTACAAAATGTAAATATATCTCAAACTGTGTATAAAGATGAAATAACATAGTATATATATAAACAATATCGGTTATACAATTTACCAGTTTAATATAATGTTCTTATATCTACGTGCGTACTTAGATTATTTAGTCGAGAATAAGATTTGCAATTATCACAAAATGAAAAGAATCAATACAATACAACATAAAAGGTTACGTTTAACAATCTGTTAATGCATAACTTCACTCACATTACGAAAGAGCAAAATCAGTATTCGTGATTGAAATATATAGAAGAAACCTTGGGGGTTAATTTAGAGACATTAAAGACATCACGTAATAATTACTAATGCACAATGTCTTTAAGACTTTAACGCTCCACAAATCACAATAACCACCACCATGGTTTGGCGGGAGGAGGTGGATACACTTTTCCATATCTAGACGGTGGTGGTGGTGGAGATCTCCTGTAATAGTAGGCTTGATAAGCTTGAGGAGGAGGAAGAACAATCGGAGTAGGGGGAAGAGGAAGATCTGCAGGAGGAGAATAAACCGGAGTAGGAGGAGGAGAAGGAAGATCAGCCGGAGGAGAATAGACCGGAGATGGAGGAGGAGGATGATCAGCTGGAGGATAATAGACCGGAGTAGGAGGAGGGGTGAGATCCGCCGGAGGAGAATAGACCGGAGATGGAAGAGGAGAATGTTCCGGTTGGTAGTTAGTGTGAGTTTGTAGAAGCTTACGGTTGTTATTGGCTTCACCAGGTGTGATTAGGGTGGCTAAAAGAAAAACTAGGGTGAAGGAATAAAGACCTTGATGAGACACCATCTTTAATAGTTCTGTCCTTTGTTACTCGATCGATGATAATGTTAAATTCCTAGACATAACTATGTTTATATATGTAATATAATTTCATTGGAAGCCCTTCTGATGAGAGAGTTAGAGGATTCCCACTAAACTTGTATATATTTTCAATTGTAGTTCTTAAGTATATTTTGAGCGGCCTTTGCTGTTTTGTTTGCATTTTAAATGCCTCTTCTTTGCCTAATTCAGGCCTGCGCTCTCTAAATAGTAAGCTTAGTGGTATTAAAATAATTAAGAGAAAGGTTATTCTTTTGGGTTTTATAATGACTTTAAAACAAGTTAATCATATATTACATGACATATAGGTTGATTTGGTGAATTCTCTACAAACAAATTTAACATATTATTTTACTAATCTTTGACTTTTTTGTCGGCTTGCTTTGGTAGATATATAGATAATAATAAGATAAGAACTAGTGAAAATATTGTTATCAACGAATTACAAGTTTGGAAATTAGTCAAAAGGGTTAGTTTTAAACAAAATTTGGGTACCCTTACACTCAATTGAGTACCCATAAAACCCTAACCCTCAAGAACCATTTTAACCATTACCTTAGCCGTAAATATTAAAAGAACCCCTTGCGTCACCTAAATTCTTCTACCAAAAGTCCCTTCTAAATTGATCCTATTACTTCCAAAACAAGAAACCAAAAAAATGAGAGTAACGATTAAAATAGTTATTATTAAGACCCTTTCCCTGTGCCACAAGAAAGAGATCCTTGTTTACTCATTCCACATTGTGAAAACACCACCAGGATTTGACCCCTGAACAGACTCACCGGTCCAGCCACTATACCCTCCGGTTCCATCACTGGAAGGCATATCGTAATCTGTTTTAACGGTTGGATACTCCTCAGTCGATCCAACAGTCGAGCTCGACCCAATACCCATGCCGTGGTTCCCAAGAAACGCTGCAGTGTTGTAGCTCCCACTAGAGCCTCCATTGTTATTATTGTTGTCAACAATAGAGGTCGAGACAAGGCCGTGAAGCAGAGCCGGATTGCTTTGAAGATACGCGTTGTAGAGCTGCTGCGAGTTCTGGCTCGATTGTTGCTGCAAGTAATTGTTGGTCTGTTGGTGGAGATGAAGCTGTGTCTGGATATAGCTATGGTGATTAAAAGAGGAGGAATCATGAGCATTGCTGTTGTTGTAATGAGAGATGTCATTGTTCTGAAGAGAAAGAAAAGGCTCTAATGGTTGTTGAATGCTTAGAGGGTAAGGTTGAAGCTGAAGCCTTGATGAGCTCGAGCCAGAGCCTGAGCTTGAGCCACCACCGTACTGGAAACTTGAGCCGAGGGCTATCATCTCGGCCTCACGTTTCCTTGAAGATTCAAGAGCCTGAGCTTCTTTGAGCCGCTTGGCCGCTCCTCCCCCTATGGGAAGAGTGCTACTCTCTAGGATGGCTTTGACATCATACCGGTTGATTTCGAAGTTGGTCACTGCATTAAGTCCTCTAAACTTGATAGCAGCTATATCATAAGCTTCCGCTGCTTCTTCCTCAGTGCCTAAATAAGATTACCATATCACTCATGTAAGTTCATAGCACGCTCTTTTTATTAAGTCAAAGTTAATTGATTAGTTTTTAAACAAAAGTTTTAGTATGCATATATATCTATAAAATTAACTCTCCTGTGTGCAGTACTCAAAAGTCTAAGAACTAAAGTGCTTACTAAAAGTTCCCAAGTAGAGGTCTTTGTTTCCGGCGACTCGGCCGATCCTTGCTTGCCATCTTCCATGTTGGTGATGCCTATAAATAAATTATAAGTAAATATTTGTTTTTTTGGGGTCAACGTCAAGTAAAATATCTTTGGTATAATGATTCTTATAAGAAGTATGGTTATATCTATGTATATATTATAAACCTTGTAACTCCTCGATACATTGAGGCTCCTCTTGAAAATCCGCTACTTTTCCTGTGTTTTGACGTATATATTAAGATGTAATTAGATTAGGGAAGTTTTCTAATTTATATGAAAAAGAACCTACGGAAGAACACAAAACCAAAAACCTTCTAATAGCAGCCACGAACTCTTGTCTCGTCATGTGCTTCATTTCTTCTACTTCTTTCTCGTAGTTAGTAATCTGATAAATATACTATAATGAGTCAAAGATTTGAATCATACACAATTAATTAAAATCAAGAGAGGGTTCCAAAAATCATGAACCAACATACCGGGAAATTAGTTGTAGTTGAAGGACCCCAGTACTTAAGTGCAGCTAGATCATAAGACCTTGCTGCTTTATCTTCTTTGTCATACCCACCTACACAAAGAATTTGGTTTAATTTAGTTTCCTTTAACGAAATAATATAATTAATCCACGAGGATGATTAAGGAAAAAATCCAGTTCGATGTACTCACCCAAGTAAACTGGAAGTTTGTTTATTAATATCCCCAAGAATTTACGCATCAAGAACAAAGAATAATGAAGACAAAACATAATTAGTCTGAGCCAAGTGAAAATTAAAAGACAAAACCTAATTAAGTGGAAGTTCAATACTTACCTTGTCGTCCTTTCCTAGACTGGCCTTCCCTTCTACAACTGTTATCCCATAGATGAGCCTCATATCGACCGGTCCATCGATGTCTATATATATATATATATATATATGCACATTTCATCATTACATCAAAAACAAAGATCACAAAATCAGTAAATAATTAGCTAAGAGACTAGTGATGAGTCACATATCTAACCTTGTGACACCACGATAGATCGAGGTTCGTTGTCCGAAAGTGTCTAACGCACGTCTCGGCGTGGCCGTCTCAACAACAGCAAGTGCTCCACCGCTAGTGTTGTCTCCGGTGGTCTCAGACGGCGAAGCTTTGGCCGCAGCGTTATTACCAGCGGTGGTACCCATTGACAAAGTGAGCGACTGTAAATTGTGAGCACTCTCTTGAAGCTCATGATAGCTACTATTGTTAGGAGTGTTGGAGTCACAAGCTGCTACAACGACGTCGTTTGATTGGACGCTAGGCATCAAGCTATTGGTATGGAAGTAGTAATCTGAGTCGTTGTAAGCTACTAGGTGGTCAGATTGGTTTTCGTCCGGTTTGCTCACACCAAGAAAATCAGCCACTTTTGGAACCTCTCCACTTTCACCTCCTCCGCCGTGTGGGTTGATCATATTCCACTCTACAGAATTACAATTTATCATCTTTAGCATATAAGTAAACACGACAAGAGAAGCATAAAGAAATATATATATATACCTTGTGTTTGAAAAGGGTTGTCCATATGGTCGCTGACCAAGCCAAGGTTGTATTCATGAGGAGGCAAAGAAGAGTTGTTTGGTGAAAGAGGAAAGCCAAGCCAGTTGTTAGAATTCATTTTTTCTTCTTTTTGAGTCAAATACGTTTGGTTTTTGTTCGGGGTAAGCAATCAATCACTACTACCACTTCGGTATGATCAATATACCAAACTCTTAAGCCAATCAAAGAAGAAAGGAAGTTTCAATAATCAAGGATTGGGGGAAGAGAATTTAATGATCAAGACTACTTTTCAAATATTGGAGAATAGTATATATAGGTACTAGAAATATTCTTCAGATTTAAATAACCTCTCTCTCTTTCTTTTCCTCTCAAAAGCTAGAAAACTCTATGATAAGTTTAGGGTTTTAACAAAGGAGAAGATACTTGTGAGTTGTGAGAGATGAACTTTGTGGAAGACCAGAGAAGTTTTATGGTTGAGAGAGACCCTTTTAGAATATTATTTGTTGCATAAAAATAATTATTTTTGCTCTATACATTATTAATTAATTTTTATAATAATCTTTATACGAAGGAGTTCATTTAAAACCAGCATTGATTTCATTTTTATTTTAACACTTCTTTACCAACGTATTCTGTCGGATTTAAATATCGGCGAATTTTTACACCAATTTTTATATGATAACTGCAAATATATAAAGGTGCACGATTGACGTAATTATATGCAATGGGGTCTGGCACATGACAGTTTTGTATATACATGACTGTATGAAATGTTTTATAAATGCATAAATATATTTGCATACACGCTTTTATATGTTGGTAAATAGCCACACTTATATCAAGTGTATGCATAATATATAACAAAAAAGTATAATCTTAACATTTGGTATACGCTTTGAATAAGTATTACCTCCATTGTGTAGAACTTATCTAAAGTACTATAATAAATGTCAAATTAATTTGTTAGCAGAAGGTGATAAGCATATGTAATATGTTGTTTAGAGGTCCTAACATTGTTTAGAAATTTGAGAAATTATATATTTACAATTCCATGAATTCAATTCAAAATTATGTACAAATAATTACAAAAATGATTAAATTGTTGTGAATAAACTTGATTAGACAAAGTGGGCGGTTTATAGTAAGACAAAACCTAAGATTCCAACCGAAAAAATCCAACCCTTTTGCGCAAATTAATTTATATAACTCACGATTAAAAGTGTTATTTAGAAAATATATAGAGTAAGATTTTAAGGCCCCTCTCTGGTTTGAGCATTCTCTCTCTCTCTCTCTCTAAACCCCACTAGGATTATGGGAACTCACGTCCTCGTTTAATGCGATTCATGACTCCACAAAGCCCAGCATTCCCACACTCCGCAACTCACCTCTTCGCCTTAATTACCATTTGACCATTCTACGTAAAGTCTCTCTTTCCCGATCTACACCTCTCTCTGATCCTTTACTCAACCATGTATACTTACTTGCGTATCGATCATCCATATATGCATCTATAAGCATACGCCTACGTATATATATACATGCATACGTTTTACGTACCCTGCCTATATGAAGTAAAGATAAATTTTACAGGATTAATACAGCAACTAGCTAGCTAGCTAGGTTACTCTATATTCGAAGCGATAAATTATTGTTAGATCCCCGAATTCTCTCTCTCTCTCTCTTCTGCATGTGTACGTTCATGCAATATTATAACACCCAGTTCATTATATATTATGGTCACAATACAGAAAAAATTGCTTAAAAGATTAAAAAGAGAAAAGTATTTTTTAATTGTTAGTTTAATGTTATTTGATGGAGAAGAGAAGATTTTTAGAAAAAGGTAAATTAAATTGTAAAATTGGTAGGGGAATTTGTTTTGGTCTCCCCAAGTAAAAATCTGTTGACCGCTTAATCGATCTTCGCACCCGTCAAAAGAAAGAGTTTAATTGAATTAATTAAACTAAACAGCATGTTTAAGTTTTAAAAGTTATTATTGCTTATGTCCTTTGCAGACTAGGAGATTGTATTGTGCTAGGAGCCAGACCTCTTTTTTAATCGCATGCCTTGTGTCATCCATTAACATCGTTCATCATTTTTTATAATACTAATCAAAAATATAGATATTTAAAATGAATTTACTAATATAAGTACATGTGCACCAAACTTCATTTCACATGTGAATTTTTTTAGTATGGAACAAAAAAAAAATAGTATTCACTGAAACTAAACATTATGTTTTAATTAGTTGCCAACAAAGAAAAATATGTTTTCAAAATGGTGATCGATCGTAGTATATTCGATTAGGCATATCTGTATTAGCATGCATAAGTGCTCAATGTTGTCGTGATATAAACAGAAACTGATCTTAGTCAACTTCATTGTACTCTACTATATAGTATGCTGGAGTATTAATTGATACTGATCAAGTGATACCGCGTATAGCTAAATATATACATGTTATTGGAATGAAATACATATACTGTTTTAAAAAGCTGACACCAATATATCTTTAGTATTAACACATGTCATATGATACTAAAACAAGAATTGAATTTATCAATTCAAAATACACATTAGAATAGTAAATACTACATATATTCTAATATCCAGCAGGTGTCTAGGTCTGTTACAAGGAAAGTTCTTATTCCACTTTTTAGATTTTGCTAAATCACTTTTCATCATTGTATTAATATATGACAAAACAAAACAAAAAATATATATATGCAATATTTCTACAAGTGAGAAACATAACAAAAAGAAATAGAAAAATAAAAAGAAAGCTTCCTTTTATGGCTTTCATCCAGACTGAACCACTCAGAGAGTTTCAGTCTTCTGTACGTACGTAGTAGAATCTAAGCGCAGAAGAATAATCAAATGACATATTCTGAACAAGCTAGTTTTCTAACTTAGATTGATATATCATCTGTTACCTTTTGACGTGACATTTTGCCGCCAAATTGGTTACCTTTTTTACCTCATCAAAGGGCAAAAAAAAGAAAAGAAAAAAGAACAAATTGTTAAGTTTGACCAAGGAAGAAAAAAAGTTTGACTGAGCAACAAATAAAATATTAATTTCTAAAATACAAAACTATTTTTATCAAAGATTAAAAAAAAAAACAATTTCAACTACCTAAAATAACTTCTACGACATATCACTTTCAACAAATCAACAAATTAATTTGGCTCTACCGATAGTGTGACTAGCTAGCTGATTTCCAAGAAACATGAGTTTGCGTTTAATTTCCATGGACAATGTTAGTAAGCAAATCCATCTGGAAGAAATAGTCAAAACTTAAAAATATGAGTAAATTGTTATTGCTGATAATTTGGGGTTTCTTTTGTTTGGCTCAGGTCGAATCACTTAAAACAGTATTTACTTACTTCATTCAAATTCATAAAAATAAAGACAAAAAGTACACACATGAGAGACAAGATTGTGATAAAAATACCAAAATAAAATAGTAAATAAAGTACGTAAAAGCGGTAAACCCTAGAGTTTACAGTCTTACAAGTGATCAAAGTTTCTTTGGTGGTCTCGTACGTCTAAAACGAAACAAGGACTAAATTCAAATATATGTATATATATATATTATGGAACCTAGTGTCTATTTTATGGAAAAAATGATTTAAAAAAAGAGAGAAGAGAAGAGTTGCAGAAAATCGGAAGAATCGGGGGAAGAAAAGAATCTAAAGGAGAGAGTCTCACTTTTGTTGGGAAAGGTGAGAGAGTAGAATGTGCAATTTGCAGACTACTATAGTCACCGGTTACTCTCATATTTCATTACGACGTGTCGGTTTTGTAAAGCCTCCTGGTTTAATATATGTCTATATTACTATTAGTATCAGTGAAATTTTGATAATTATAATAAGAGTGGACACAAGTAAAATCATTTCCGTTCAATTGAATCTCCTACGTTAATTTGTTATACTCCTAAGTCTTATTATAAGGAGATTGTGTTTTTTTTTTCTCTTGAAATTTCTCAATGAAGTAGGGTAATGTATATAATGGATTAATACAGTAGTAGTATATTAGACGTCATAGATATTCCACTTCTTCGTGTTTCTAAGCATATTAATGGCGATTATACCTTATGTCCTTGCTGAATTTTATGCATGAAAGGTTGTGCAGAACATTTAGATAGCCACCATTAAGGAGCTTATGCGAAATCCTAAACGCACTTAATCATAAATGCGAACCCACGAGTTGATCAAATGGAAAAGAGAGCCGCTCGAAATTCTCCATATATTTTTTGATCTATCTCACATATTTGATGATGATGTGGTTCTACTCTTTAGTCTACTTAAGCAAAACCAGCAAAATTATTCTTTAACTCTTATCTAAACCCTAGTACGTACTTAATCAAACAAAGTTTTATTAACCTGATATATATGCGTATAAACTTCATCAAGAACCATTTGAACTCTTTGATTTAATTAGTTAGAGTAGTGAAGAAGGTATGTATGGGGCCTGAATTTAAGTTTTTTACTTAATTAAGTAGACATGAAATATAAAAAATGTGAGTGTAGGGCATAGACGTTAAAATCACGAAAACCGGTGGCAAATTCTTGGAGGTGAAAAATCAAAAGAGTGAGAGAGAGAGAGAGAGAAGTCACAGTCACGGGAATCCAGAGAAAGGCTTTGTAGAGTTTCCATGGTGTGGTGTGGTGTGTGGTGGGAGGAATAGCCGGAAAAGTGCCCGTGTCGCCTCGAGATGAGTCTCCTCTTAACCATTTATATATGTATTCTTTTTATTTGTAATACTGTCTATATTTTATATAGTGCGATTAAATTTTATCCTTTTTGGGGATTTGATTTGCTTGCAATGGATTTGAACTAAGTATATAGGGAGTATTTTTATACAAGCTAGAGATCGGAAGACATACATATCATATATGTAAGCTTGGTTCCAACTTCCAAAGAGGAAAAAAACAAAGGCAGAGACCTAATTAAGATATAAACGATATAGTATAATATATAATCTTTCATTTTCTTTTGAACACAGGTAGGACTCTACATGGTTGTGTCTTTGTAAAAACACGAGGCCGCATAATATTATCAGAGGTGCTTTAATTAGTTGTCGCAACTCACTGAGGTAAACATTTGTGCATGCATAGTAGTAGTATATATATTGAATGATCCCAAGAAAGGATCCTATAGGTTAATGACTACGTTCAATGTAGTATGTATATATAGAGAGGCATGGGCATGGCGTTTTGTGTTTGGTTTTATGTGGCTTCAATAGTTAATAAAACGACCATTATACAATATTGGCCGATATATATTGTGTATATATATATAGGTGGTCGTTTTATAATTTGATTGATCTTGGTTCATTTATGGTTTTATATA